ATCTTTTCATCATTTTGCCTATGTTCATCAATATCTATGTTTCATGACCGTATATTATGTGCTTGATGAGTGTTAAAAAACAAAAATTCTTTACATTTTATTCAGTTTTCTGTATTTCCATTCTTGCATGCTTGTGTGGGCTTGATAGCCTTGCTGGCTATGATGTGATTATTGGGCTGGTATAAATTACAAATTGTGGATATGGTGTTGAATAGATTAACCAATACTTATTGATGTAATACTTGACATTCTTTATGTACACCACTCATGCTCGACATATTAGGTTAGTGATTAGGGTTTTGAACATAAAGTATGAGAAGAATGATAACCTTCTACTAAATCAAATAGTAAATCACCTTATGACAATTTGGAGATGGTTGAGCAATCATATGAAAACATTGAGACAAGTGAGAGCCCCGTACATGAATTCTATTGTGTCGATTGTCTAGACCAGTGAGATAAAAATTAGGTGAAAATCTTATATTGGGGGTTGATTTTGGCGGTCAAATGTCTAGAAAAATAATAAAGGGCATAAATTAACTGTGAGAATAGGACACATTTTTCCATGTCTTTATGATTCGAGTAAGTCTGTAAGGATATTTCAAAATCTGGTGCCCCAAAACCAATTGATTTGGGAGTCATCAGCCCAAAACTTGTTACATGTGTCATATAGAAAGCAAGAGGGGAAGAGGTGAATAACAAGTCATCTGATCGAGCATTTATAACTCGAGTGAATAAGCCTGCAAGGGTTTAAAATTTGATGCCCTAAAGCCAACTGGTTTGAAAGTCATCGACCTAAAACTCGCTACAGGGGTTATACAGAAAGCAAACGAGAAGATGATGCAAAAAAAAAATTATCAAAAAATAAGTGAGAAAAGGCATGATAACATCAAGAGGCCATTGGACATTTGGTTGAAGAAACTATACATTTGATGCGAGCTTAGTAACTTAGTTTAATCTTAAGTGTTGAAGCAATCAAATTTGGAAGAGCCTTCATTTGTTGACATATAAATTTGTGATAGTGAGATCTATCCAAACTAAGAGAGGGTAAAGACTGCAGTTACCTAAAATCTTAACTTTAAAACACAACCCCAAGATAATTGAGTGAAAAGAATAAGTTTGGGGATTTGTGTATCTCTTGAGCGAAGTAAGGACATATTTGACCACTCTGGGTCGAGACTAACCCCATCATGAACTAATTATGTTAGCATAATTTCACACACGCATGTCGGGTATGCAATCAACAGGTAAATGTTGATTTCATTCTTGCACTAATCAAAATTTTTTAAAGTCAAATGCTTAGTCTAATCTCGAGACACGGCCGGTTATTAAGTCATGTTTGTTTAGTATTGAGCCACTATCTTGTATGATGACAAACAATAGTTCAAGTTTAGGGGGTTTGATAAGTGTATTTTTACACACTTATTTAGTCCACAAACATGACTTAATTATGATCAAAGAGTTTGAATTATGGCTTAATTCTATGTAATTATGTTTTGTTGATGAATGTGGTGGAATTCAAGAGAAAAAACGAAAAAGAACCAAAAAGGAAGAAAATCCAAAGTATGAGGACTAAATTGCAACATTTCAATAGTTGATTCGAATCACAAAATGAAGATTAAAGATATTGCGGGTTCAATTGGATGCAAATGAAAGTCAAAGAGTTGAAATTACTAGAGAAAGGGCTTGAAAGAATCAAAAATCAACTTCGGGGGGCTAAAATGCAACATATGGAAGAAATTTTGCCTGAGCTTATAAAAATGGGGCGATCACCCCATATGTTTTTCTTATTATCGAGAAGAAAATGTTGGCCTGAGCGACAGCCTAGCCCAATCGTTGCGAAAATTTTCTGATTACAACTCTTATGGAAACAAATCTTGGGAGTCTTTTAAAAGCCCTAGGGACGTCCAAAAACATACATCACGCATTATACATTATTTTGGGAGGATTTGAAGAACAAGAAGAAGGAAGAACAAGAAGATTCAATCCAAGATTAAAGATCTCACTTCAAGAATTTCAATAAGGTGATGTCTTTTCTTGATTTTTATTGTTATATTCTTCTTCCCATCATGTTAGACTAGAAAAATCTATACTAGGAGATTCATGAACCTTGTAATGTGATATTTAATTCTTTGTTCCGTATTTTGACACTAAAATACGTATTGATTGTTTTGAATGATTTATATGCATTTAATTGCTTCCATGATTATAGGCTCGTAATTGTGTGAGTTTTGGTGGTTTGTTTCATCTATTCGAAAGAAGAAGAATAAATTCGATAACATATAAATCATCATAAGGTCTGATAGGGGATATAAATATACCTCTATGCTTCGTATGAATCTCTAAGTACTCACACAACTATATGCATTCTCGTATATTTGCATTCGTCATAGACATATAGGCTGGTAGTGTATGAGAATAGGTTCAATTCATCTTAAGAAATAGTGCTGGATAGATTTAGGAGTATTGATTCTTCAAAATGTCATCGCGTTGTCAAAATGTAGAATTAAGGTTAAATTGAGAATTGTTTGGGGATTCGTGATCCTAGTGCCCTTTTATATTCATTGAGTACATAAACTTGCATTCAACACATTCACTTTGCATTCTAGTTCAGTCAAATCATACATATTTGCATATTTAATCCAAGTAAGGTTAATTTAAGTCACTCCAGTTTCGGTTAAGGCCAAGTTAGGTAAAATTAAATTAATCAATCTCTGTGGACGATATTCATCCACTTTATTACTTGTTAACGAACCATACACTTGCGGTAATTTAAATCTAAAGAAATATTTCCCCTGGTGCTTGTGCAGAAAGTTTCAGGACATAAAACTGTAAGGCAATGCAAAACCATGCTTTCTAGATTATATGATGTGGAAATCTTAAAGCTGTTGGAAAAAATGAGTAAATGGCTCACTTTTGGCACATTTTTTGGTGGAATCCATTTGTCCAATTTGGAAGATCAAAGTTGATTCGTGTTCTTCTCCGTGAGAGTATCAAAATCATATATTTACTTGCCAAAATTGATGAACAGATGAATTAGAAATTTGAGCTCAAAGATGATCATTGAAAAATGGCTTATGAGGGAAAATAAGATTTGTTCCACATAAGAAAAATATGAAAGCAAGAACCATTTTAAATATGATTGCACATTAGAAGGGTGTAATCATGTTTAGCATAGAGGCTCTCTCCACGTGAGCGTGCAGGGAGGTGCAAATCACGGATTGAAATAGCTTTCAGACCTTGAACTTGTGTGTGGGCGTGACTTGCGTACACGAATGTCAGATTGAACGGAGCAAAAATTGGTTCGTTTGGAGTGTCTATGTTTTGCAATTTTTTACTTGCTTTCTCCATTGACTTTTGAGTTTCTAAAACTTCCAAAACTCCCAAAAACTAAAGTGACTTCAACTTTTATTGCCATAGAGTTAATGGCAGATTTATGTTAAATTAAATCTCAAGTTTTCCAGCAATTGAAACACATGAAAATCACACCAAAAAATACACTGATCCGTCTGTCTATCTACATATACAGTATTGTTCTATCTGTCTGCATATACAGTTTTTCTCCAACGTTATGGTGGTGATATTGTTTGAATACAAACTCAGTTTGTTACAGTAGTTTTTACAGTACTCAGATTCTACTGATACTATTATATCCTGGGAAGCAGACGCTCGGATTAGATCTCAAGCACTTAAGATGAGGGGGCGAATCTGTTTTAAAGAAACTGTGCTCGCACAGGCCTCGGATTGAAGATTTATTTATTTTCTGTAATTTACATATTTGTAATTTATTCTTGTAAATTTATTTATTTAGAGATTTACATAGTTGCAATTTATTTGCAATTTAATCTTATGCTTCGTAGATTTTTCAATTTATTTTGTTATATGTGCTTCGTATATTTTTACAGTTTATTATCTATATGTCAGAAAAAAACCTAAAGAAAATTAATTAATTTGATAACATTCGGTTTGGTAGTTGTCCAAACGGTATTTATTTAACTAATATATGCAAATACGATATTTCTTCATTTTGGTGTATGAAAGTGCATATCCAGTATGTTAGTTGCATATACGGTATCTAGCAAATATATGTAAAATCACTCACTGTATATGAAATTGGTAAAAATCAGTTTGTGCAAATGCGGTGGGCTTTCTGTAAATACGGTAAGCTGCATATACGGTAAACTTCCTACAAATACGGTAAGCTACATATATGATATATTGCATATACGGTATGTTTAAAATCGATATTTAAACTACATATATAATATACGATAATCCGATTTCATTAACACTACTATGATCCAACAAACTTAAAATAGATTCCTAAGGAAAAAATGATTTGTAGAGAGAGAGAGAGAGACTTTGTTTTTCAAAATGTAGACGTTGTATATAATTGTATATGTATGTAGAGAGAGTTATTAAGTAGATAGAGGCTTTCTTTTTCAAAATGTAGAGAGAGTGTGTGTTTTCGGGGAGAAAATATTTACGTGGTAGGTCATTGAAATCTGTGGGTATGGTTTGAGTGGGTGGTATATATGTTTTTAATTATAAAAAATAGGATTATGGTGGTTGTTTACCATGCTTGTACAGCATGGTGTACAACAAGCATGGTTGTAAAAAATAATTATAACTGGATTTTTGTAATAAAAAAATAATTATGATTTGATTTTTGAAGTCGAAAATTGAAAGTAGGGTTCAAAATAATTTCTGTTAGTAAATCTTGCCTCCACTCTTGTGCACTTGGAACACATAGATTAGACGTGAAAGACCTAAGCCCCTCCAAACAGAAAAGGATGGGGAGATCACGATATTCCGTGCTTCAACACTCACATTAATAAAAAAAGGATAGTTGAAAATGTATCGACTGCGTGGGAAATGCTAAAAGAGAAGAAATACGGATGACAAATTTGTATTATAAAATGAATTACCGAAGTTGTCAACTACCTTTACCAAGTGTGCGTGAGTATTTTGTTGGCCAATTAAAATTATTTTGCACTTAGCCAAACATGCCTCCGCTATCCCACTCAGAACCCGTTCCCCTCCCCCACTATTTCCCCCAAACCCTCGCCGCTTACATTCTTTACAAGCACAACCGATTCAGCCGCAGCAACATTATAAACGCTGCAAGTAATATTCTGGCAGGCGGCGGCGGCGGCGGCAAAGAACTGTACTCTCATCAGCGAACTGTTTCTTTCCACCAGTAAAAACTAAAATTCCAGTAATGTCTTAAATGTAAGAGACGAACCCAGAAAATAAAACTCAGGTTTTTGCTTCTTAGAATCGGTAAGTTGATATTCCGAACTCCATAACTGTATTCAGATTCCTTTTTATGAATGAAGAGCTCTTTTTAGGAAGTAAGAACCATGTTTTCTTGTTTCCTTCGTAAAGGGGCATCCCCATTGCAAGGTTATCCGGGTTACTCGTTATGTTACCGTATCCCATTGCGTATTTTACAGAATGCATTTTGTTCTAAGATTTCGGGAGATTTTCCTATTGAGAATAAGCAAGATAAAGTAGAGCAAATTCGAATCCTTTTACGAAATTATGGATTGAGCGATATCCAAATATCCACAATTTCTCAAATGCATCCTAAGGTTTTTCGATTCCATCCACAGAATGTCATTTTGCCAAAACTCAAGTTCTTGAGCTCCATTGGCCTTTCGAGTGATATCTTACACAAAATTATTGTGAACAACCCTTGGTTATTGCAAAGAAGCCTAGAGAATAAGCTGATCCCTTGTTACAATTTACTCAAAAATGTACCCATTTCCAATAAAGACATTGTTAGGATAATAAAGCGCAATTCGAGAATTCTTGGTACTAATGTGGAAAAGATTGCTGCAAATGTAGATGCATTTCGACAGATGGGTGTACCTCAGTCGTCAATCTCTTTTGTGATGGTTAATCACCCTTCTTTGGTGCTACTGAATTGCGAGAAGTTGAAACGGTGTGTAGAAGAGACGTTGAGCTTGGGTTTTAACCGTTTGAATACACTGTTCGTCCAAGCAGTTTATGTGCTATGCGGGAGTAGTAAAGAGACGTGGGAGAATAAAGTGAAGGTTTATAAAAGTTTTGGTTTGTCTGAGACTGAGGTTCAATCAGCATTTAGAGCACATCCGCTTTGTATGAGGTTGTCTGTAGAGAAAATTTCACGGGGAATGGATTTCTTTGTAAATGAGATGGGATGGTCGCCTACCATTGTTGCGCGATGGCCTGCTGCTCTGTTTTATCACTTGGAGAAGAGTATCATCCCTAGATGCCAAGTTATTAAGGTCTTGATGCAGAAGGGATTGGTGAAGGAACATCAAACTTTGATGTCTTTTTTGGGGACTACAGAGGAACAGTTTCTTGACAAGTATGTAAGCAAATATATGGATGTTTTGCCTGAACTAAGGGATATATATCGTGCAGGAATGATCTTTAAGAACAATTGATTTGTGGAAGATGTTATGGCAAAAATGTTGGACTTTTAAATCAAATCTGTAAAGCTGTAACGTTGAAGGGTTGCATGGAAATTTCTCATCAATTCAATGTCTTCCATTTCTTGGCATGTTGATAAGTGATCTTTTTGCTGAATTGCTCGTTTTCGCTTGTGGTTTGTTTAGTAGGGTGGGTTGAATGGATTTGTTTTGTCCAAGTTGGTATAAGATTTTGTCTTGAAGATTCTCACAAGGCAAAATTTAAGGCACTCATTCCCCTCATCTCCCTCGCAGTGTATGATGCGTTGTGAAAACCGGCTTCCTTGTCGAGTAACAAGTGATTGCTTTGCTGTATTCATGTTCGTTTTGGTGTGTATAGACGGTGTGACTCCACTACTCATTGAAGTACTTGATTTTATTACTTCAGATGAAAAAAAGCTAAATTTTGTAAAACTTTTGGTCTAGTCATGTGTAATTATTAAGAATGTGTTTGGTTTGAATTAAAATTTGATTTTAATCTAATTCAAATAATTAATGTTAATTACATTTTTATGGGACCCATAATTTTTTAATCACACATTTCAAAAGCTTTCATCACAATCTATTAAAAAATTTAATTTTAATTCCTATCCAACACCCTCTAATTATACGTATTTAAGATGATCTTAAAGCTTAAATTGGTGCACTCTTTTTCCATTCTTATTGTATGATGTGCCGTCAAAATTGGTTTAAGTTCTTATTATGTTGACCTCGCGAATTGGACCCTCCACGTGGCGAACCGATAGCTGTTCCACGTAATCCTCCCTACGCACAGTCAACGTACGGTCAGATGCACACGGCCGGAACCAGCGGGGGCGACGGCGATCGCATATACTCCGACGGTCAAGTTAACTTTTGGTGATCGGAACAGTGCCAAAGTTGTGCAAAAAGGGTTGGAAGGAGAATATATGTTTACTTGTTATGAAGAGCTAAATTGTAAGAGTTTCATCTCTTTTGCCTCTTGTCAAACTTTGGGTATTTATAATTAAGGAGAACCGTTAGATGTGGGATACGTGTATGCATTTGACGGTGTGAGACGTATACTCATAGGCGTTAATCAGCCGCGTCTATAGAATGGACGGGTAATGACTTCCTGAGTTGAGTTGACATAAAGTTGATACGTCACATCAACTACGCCCATGGAGACGTCAAATCAATTAAATCTTAGGGGCAGAAAGGATCTTGACACAGATCTTTTTCTGAAATTGGCGGTTGATCCTCTGACGGAGATCCTTGGAGTGCATTGTGCTTCGACGTCAGAGGCAAGAATGCTTCGGTTGGTTCAGTAGAATTGTTCGTGCCTTGCAACGCGTTAGCAGCTTGCCAACATTAGTGGTGGAGCCACTGAACCACTTCGAATGGGTGTTGGACACCTTGTATGACGCAATGACAGACTTTTCGAAGTGGTTCAGATAGGGGCGTAACATATTATGCAAGTGATTTTGGAGATGTGTTCTTTCTTAATTTGTTAAATTGTTATTAATAAATGTTTAAATTTCAAATCATAATGTTTACTCAACTATCATTGAATAGCGCTTAAAAAGTTAAAAAGCCAATAATAATAATAATAATTAAATAAAAAAACCAATTATTGACCAATTTAAATTTCAAATTTTAATATTTACTCGTTGATTATTGAACGGGACAATTTTTAAAATGGCTGGATAATTGATCCAATTTTTCACAATGGCCTTTTATATTAGAAATACTAATTTACCCTTACTAAATTATTTGCAAGCTGTATCTTATATTTTCAAGGATTTATTAATCAGGACCTATATCTATATTTTTCAATCTTTCAAATACCTTTAAATATTCTTTATATTTTAGTAGTTCTTCAAAGACCCTTTCTGAACTAATCCTTCTGAAATTTCTTCCTGTATTTCCCTATGTTTTGGTTATAATATCTTCTACCTTTCTTATCTCTCTACTAGTTCCTATAGAATCAAATCCTATATTATTTTTACAATTATAATCTATATCTCTATATATTTTTTCAATTTTTTCTTTGCCAATAGGAAATATATCTTCAGACTTTTCAACTAATTTAAATAAAAACGAAACATCTTTTTGATCTAAAAATAATATGAGATTATTATCATTAGTGGATGTGGATGCTTGTGAATTGTTCATCAGAATAATTAAATTATAAGCATGTAAAAACAAGTAAATAACTTACAGCAATCAAATGGAAGTAAACAGGCTTTCCCTCCAGTATGCTTTTATAGATGCTTTGCATGTACTTAATCAATCTTCTGAATCAAGTAAAGGTTTTAAAATGTTTTAGAAATCATTTGGGTCCACAACTGCTTCCGCAAAAGGCTTTTCAATTAAGGTTGCATTTCTCACTCTATAGAACTAGCCGTGTTTCCACAGACGCTATCTCACAGTATCCAGAGTCTCTGTTTTCACCTCTATCTAAACTCTTTTCAGAATCAAGTTCTTACTTGGAACGAAATTTTAAAAGATAACTCACACACAAGGTGCTACAATTTTGTTAGAAAACTGCCTTTTTCCATTAAACAATTCATCAAAGACGGGTACTTTGACATGACTAACATCCATTCAAAAATCAATGTTTTGAAAATCTTTTAAAATCTCAATCTGTACTGCTGAGGAATCATGAGAAATTTAACGAAATCCTTTTATGAAAGCTTTGTTGAATATAACAAACTTTACTTTGATATTCATAAACTGAAATTGTACATGCTTACAAACTATATTTACATACATTTGGTACTCACCTTATGAAGTTTAGAACTCCATAAGTGATTACCTTATTATACGCTTTTCTATCTTCAAACTATCTAATATTTTTTTGAATACAAGTGGTGTAAGCAGATTACAAAAGATATATCTAAGATGTGTTTCCTTCAAGTGTTTAGGAGATAAGCCGTTTCGAGATGCCCTCCTTCTTCCTCCTTGCCTTCTTTTATAGAAGCTTTTAGGAATCTTATCTTGACAGGTGTTTTCCACCTTTCTTTGTTGGGTGGTTAAGACATCTTATCTCCACCGAATTTTCCATTATCTTCTTGCTAGGTGGACCTCTTCTTTTGAAATTATATGCCTTATCTTTTGAGTTTGTCTGCCACTTGTGTCAAGAGTAGTCGCAATTATGGAGACTTTTCTTGCAATATCTTCTATCTTTTAGTAGTTACAGTTTTTCTTTAATAAATTTCTTTATTAAAGTAGTGATAAAGGACTACTTTTGTCACCATCACTTTTCCATTTTTGAATCAAATAATTCTGTAGGGAATTCTTCACTGTTAAGGGATGCTTGACTCATATCTTCAACTACACAGTATTCACAATGGTGATCACTATAATTCCAGAGTAATTTGCATAGTTCTTTAACCATATCTTTTGATCCACGTACTTGGTTAGAAATAATGGCAGATAATAAATGGTCGAGATAACAAATATCTTCTTCCTTGGTGGTCATCCTTGTATTGGAATAGATAATATGATCTTCAGATGGATAAACCCATATTTTTTCTTTCTCAGTAATTATCTAAGTTACATGATCAAATATCTCTTTGTATCCTTTTGCTCTTCTGAAGGGCATCATATTTAGAATATCTTGATATCCATTTTTAACAACTTTTTGATTGGTTGTTAAAAAATGTTGATTTGTAAGTCTCATTTTTATCACATGGAACGATGGATGCATATATTCAAGAACGGGATCCCATTCCATAATTGTTGAATGGAATCTGATATATATATTTGTTGTCTTGACAACTTCAGTATGTCTTTTAACAGCTTTTCTGGTGTTGGCTGGAAGTTGAGCTATTTCTTTGAGATCTTTACTAGGATATATACAAAGTATATTTCCTATCTCAAAACAATTTCGTACCCAATTGGCTGGTGCTCATGGATAAAAATTTATCTTGTTGTATTTTGAATAGTGGAGAGTCTTCATCCACTTTTCAATCTCCAGATACCAATCTGATAAAATATTGAAAATAACAATAAAGAGTGTTTCTTCTTCATAGTTATCTTTTCTGGGAATTTTTGTTTTAGGACATATCTTGATAATATCTTTTGGATCTATCCTTTCAATAGAAAGTTTAGATTGAGTTTGGCTCTGTGAAGAGCTACCTTCTCTTTTGATATCTTGAATATCTTTGTTATCAGTAATAGGTTCAAGTTTTCCCTGTAAAGGGGTTCCTATTACCTTCTTTTCTTTCCCTTTATCCTCGAGGAGAGCGCTAGTATTCACAAGTCCCTGCGAATGGATACTAGACTTGGTACAAGTATCTCCTGCCTCAAGGGCTATATTTTTGCTGATAAAAACTATCTTGGATATTTTGAATCTGTGTTTCCAAATAGGAAACTTTTATCTCAAGTATCCGGACTTTCGTCCTTAGTTGTTCTAACTCCATCCCTGCTAAGATAATCAGGAAGAAAGTTAGTTTTACCTTTTATGTATTCAATATCAAATTTGAAATATGAGAACCAAATTTGTATCCTAATAATATATCTATTGGTAATAGATGGATCAACATTATTTTTCAGAAAGGCTTCAATTTAAGTATTATCTGTTTTAATCAAGAACTTCTTTGGTAACAAATAATCTTCATATTTTTTAACTCCTCTTTTAACAGCAATGAGTTCTTTTCTATTCGTCTCATATCTTATTTCAACTTCTTTGAATATTCCTGATGTATATCCTGCAAGTATCTCAGGACAAGAATAATTCTTTTCACATTTATATTCTTTATGATTCTTTTTAACCTTTAATACTGCTCCCCAGTAATTATCTGAAGCATCAATTTTAAGGATAAAGAAATCTTCTTCTTGTGGTATTACAAGTTTGGACAATACCTTTAACTCTTCTTTTACTTTCCTTATATTTTCACAATCTTGTTTTTCCCAAGACCACATCATATTTTTTCTTAATTTTGTAAGAAAATAATTTTTTAATTTAGCACAATTTTCAATGAATCCTTCAGCATAATTTAATATACCAAGGAAGTTTTGTAATTATTTTTTATCTTTGATTTTTTCAGGAAATTCTTGAAATTTTTCTCCAATATGAGATTGCAATTGCAATTCTCCTTCTTTTATAAATAATCCTTAAAATTCTATTTCTGTTTTAGCTATTTCAACTTTCTTTTGAGAAAGTGTAATACCATGTTTTTTCATAATATAACAAAATTTCTCAAGATATTCAATATGTTCATCAATATTATTTGAATGAATAAGTAAATCATCTACATATGCAACACAGAAATGAGTAATAGATTTGATTACCTCATCCATTCTCCTTTGGAATATCTGTGATGCATTTTTCAACCCAAATGGCATTACATTCCAGTCGTATTGTCCTAAAGGATTGGGGGTACTAAATGCAGTTAGTGGTTTACTTTCTTCTGTAAGCATGATTTGCCAAAACCCTGACTTACAATCAAATTTTGAAAATATCTTTTTGTTCTGTACTTGTTTAATAAGGGTGTCCTTATTTGGAAAGTAGTATCCATCAAATTTAGTAACTTCATTTAATTTTTTGTAATTTATTACCATTCTGGCTTTTCCTCTTTTTATGGGTTTGACTCTAACAATAGTGTCTGGATTGGTTAATTCTATTTTTGCCTTTACTTTGTCTGTATTCCATTTTTCTAATGGATTTTTAGAATATGTTTCAGAAATTTCTTTTTTCAGTTTTTCAATTCTATTTTCTGTTGTCATTTTTAAGACTGTAACTGGTTTAAATTTTTCTGTACTCCAACATCCACCACGCTGGGTTGAGGAACTCTGATATTTTATATCTGTATATGCTATTGTAACAGCTTTATTTATTTTTGGTATAAATATTTTATGTGCACAAGGTGTTGTAAACATATACTTATCAATATATTGTGTAAATCATGCATATTTTAATAGAAAATTTTGTCCTAATAAAATATCACATCCAATTGTAGTTGACATGTATATTGTATCAACAAATACTTCTCTAAAGGAAATTAGAAAAGGTACTTACGTAGCATATTTGCTGTATATTACCTTATTTCCACCTGCTGTTGTAGTGGTGACTATTTTCTTTGAATTGTATATCCAGTATTCAGATGGTAGTACATTTGGTAAGCATAAGTTTATTGTACTTCCTGTATTTAAGTAAGCGTGAAATTTAATTCTACAATATCTTTTAATATTTAGTGTAATTTCAATATATGTACTCATAGGATTAGTACATATTACTCTTTCCATGATAACAATAATTTCATATTTTCATCTATTCTTGATATGATAATTGGGATATCATCAATTGTTATTTTTAGATATCATTAGCAGATTTTATAAGGACTATATTTCTCAAGAAAGTTCATTCCTAATAAAATATGTGAACGATCTACTCCATATAATTCGTCTTTATATAGAATTATTTCTTTAGTATATTCTTTTTGATCCTCTCCTATAAGTATAAGAGGGAACTTAACATATTTTCTTATTTCAAGATTATTTCGTAAATAATCTTTCAATATATATGGTTCTGGTATTTCAAAGTCTATTAAACGACTAACAAATTTAACATTTACATGACTTTTATCTGCTCCAGTATCTATGAGAACGAGAAGATTCTTCTTGTATCCTTCTTGATTTACATATCTTATCTTAATGTAATATTGTGAACTTGATGATTCAGCAATATTCAAATTCTTAAGTCTGCTTATCCTAGAGTCTTATATAGAGGGAAATCTTGCAATAAGAATATCTCCTTCTAAGCTGACACTATTTCTTCTTATTAGTTTCCCTTCAGAATTAATTTCTTTAACTTGTTTATGGAAATCAAGCATTATTTGTTCTGGTATAGTGACTTCATGTTCTTGGTATTTTTTAGGAGGTATATATTGTGCTAATTCCTCAAAATCTTTATGAATAATAATATTATCCGTTATTTTTCTTAGATTGTTATGATGGCTAATACTAAAAGCAAAAATTGATTTTATACTTATACTAATAACTTTACTTCTTCGTAACATTTTTAAGTTTCCAATTCTATAGTATAGATTAAAACTTTGGTCAATATTTTCATCATTTAATGATATTGCATAATTTGGTTTAACTGTAAATATTATCTTTTGATAGACTAAATTTCCTACAACTGTTTCTAATAGAGCATTTATAGGATCTTGTAAGATTCTATTGTTCATACAATATATTTCTATTGGTATATTCATACTTTCTCTAAAGAATTATTTTACCATTATCTGGACTCCTCCTAATTCAATGCATTTTAATTTGTTTCTTACGTTTTCTGGAATTTTAGATAACTTTTGTTTTACCCATTCTTTTGTAATTATAGGAATCCTTTACTTTTCCTACAGTATCTTCTATATTGATAGACATTTCTTTATAATTCATACTTACAATTGTTTTATTTATTCTTGGTAAAATTCCTAAGAATCCTTGATAGAATACATCTTTTTCTTGTAGGTCTAAAATCTTCTTAGTGATTCCTGTGTATTTTTTAATATCAAAGATAATTTCTTGATTTATACCTTCTATAGAGTCTTCAAGTTTTTCAGTTGTTTCCATGTCTATTTCTGATTGTTGTATTTCTTGATTCATATATACTATCTCCTCATAATCTTCTTCTGATGAGAATGTATTTAATTCATAAATGCTACTGCATTCACTATTTAGATCTTCAAAATATTCAATTGGTTATATGTCACTATCTTCTTGGAATTTTTCATAAATTCTAAGAGTTTTTATATTCTGTCTATCTTTCTTTTTAGGACATTGAAGGGCAATATGTCATTCTTCATTACAAATAAAATATTTACATTTTTTAATATTTCTTGGTTTAAATTTCTTATTCCAATTTCTTTTCTTGAAATATTTTTTGTGTGGTTTAAAATTTCTTTTCTTGAATTTTTTTTATAGTTTTTGAATTTTCTTTTATATTTCTTATATGGTTTATATTTTTTCTTATGTCATCCAAATTGTTCAATTTGGCCATTATTTTTATAACAATATAATGAATATTTTCTTATTTTATATGCTTTTTTATTTTCTAAAGATTCTCTATACCATATGCCTATCATTCTTTTTGTAAATTCAATTCTACTTCCAAAACTATCTATTTTTACTCCTTCCTTTTCTCCTAGAGGTAATAATTTTTCATATTCTTTTAATAACTTAATTCCCCATGAAAATGGTAACTTAGTAAAATAAGATCTTAATAGAGGTTTATTTTCATGATAATCTCCTTGGTTTAATATATAATATATTTCTTTAAATTTACAAGTGTATCTTTCTAATTCACACATATCACATATCTTTAAATTTTCCATTGCTATCATTCCTTGATTATATTCATCTTGTTTTCTTTTTTCATCATTAGAAGTATACCTATCACCTAAGAATTATGTTCTTAAGATCTTTTCAAACTTTTTAATATCTCTTGTATATTTTGTTCATTTAAAGTATTTCTATTATCTAATACCTCAGTTCTACCTGCTCCATACTTTATCCTTCTTTTAATAGTTTCTGGTAATTTTCTCCACCATTCAGAAACAATTCCTCTGAATGTATGTTCAATAAATCCAAAGGCTGTATATGTTTCCTATTTATTAAATTGTATTACTAAATCTGTACTTTTCATCCATGTTTCAATAACTTTATTTTTATCTACACAGTCTAGGTCTAATCATATTCCTATTGTATGGATTGGTTCATTATAAAATTTCATTGGGTTTATTTCTTTTATGGACTGTTTTCTTATATTTCCAGTGTATCTTTTTTGTGTTTTTCTATATTGGTAAATACCATCCTTATTAGGTATTGGGGTACCATAAGGATAATCTTGTTCTTCATAACTACTGAATTCTACTTTTATATTTTGACTTGAAGCTGGATTAGTATTTATTTTTGTATTTTCCATTTTTTCAGTTAATCCTTCTAACCGTTTTTTATATTCTTCATACTCTTCACCTGTAAATTCTAAGAATTTTTGTTCTATTTCTTTTACATCTGTAATCATATATTATTTTTCTTCATATTTTTTTCCTTTATTATTTTCTTTTTGTGTTATCCTAAAATTTTGAGGTGGATTAATTATAATCCTATCTTTTCCTTTAAGATTTTTATCTAATAAAATATTTCCTACTTGTAAATTATGTTCCAGACTTTCTAATATTTTATGTATATCCTTAAAACTTTCATTTGTGGTATTTTTAGGTAAATAGGGATAACTAGGTTTTTTATGTTTTTCAACTTTTTTCAAAAATTCTTCAATTATATTTTCTTCATCTACTATATTATCATTATTTTTGGTTCGTAACATGGCTCTGATACCATTTCGTAGGAGTGTACAGCAGAGTGATTAAGATTTTTAAGCCAATTAAAATCTTTATAAGTATTTAAAATATCACAATAAAATTTATAAAATTCCCTATTTTCTATTAATACTTTTTCTCTAATAATTATATTTAGTTCTTTAACTCTTCTTCTCAGATTAAGAGTTAGTTTATATATATCATTTTCTGTTTTGATTGTACTATTATCTATAGAAATATTTTTATTTTTAATTTTGGATCTAAATATTCTGTAAAGAATCTTTTCAGATCTTCTTCTAAATAGTTTAATTCACTTTCTGTTACAATTTTTAGATCAATAAAATTTTGTAGAATATTTGGGGTTAAATTTATTAAAGATTTTTGATCTATATTTCTTTGAGGACCTAATTGAAGGTTTCTCTACATTGTGATGGCTTTGGTTGCAAATTTTCTATAAGGGGTATTTTTGAAAAGATCATTGTTAAAATGCTATTTCTCAAATGTTTATATTTTTTGGTTTAATATTACAAAGATCCTTTTTATTTATGTTATCTAGTGGAATTTCCTCATTATTGAACTGCACTTAAAAAGTAATCAATCATTGACCGATTGATCGTAACGGGGATGACATCGCTACCTGGGATATAAGTTGGGGGCCAATGATACAATTTCTCCATCAATTTTTCTCTCTGCGTCTTAAACGAGCACTGGACTACGGGACTAGGGATAGGGTTTTGTGGAGGTTGAAGACTTCGGTTCTATTTTACTCTCAGTTGAATTGACAGTCAACAGAATCACTTGATATTCTTCCACAATTGGTGAGTTCATTTTCCAATTTCTCCCCTATATTGTCAATTTTGTGAACCATGTTCATTTCTAATTCTTTTATAAGAAACATGTTTCGGATAATATATAGGCATCAGGATGATTCAAATTCATTCAATTCACTGTTTAAATCTAGATACAGACTTTTTTCATCTGTTAGTTCCAAAGATTTTCCTATTTGGTTGTCTCGGGAAACTAGTGTTGGGAAATATTCTGAGAAAAAAGTGGAAAAAGTAAAGACCTTATTCAGGAATCATGGATTTGACGAATCCCATATTTCGCATATTGCTCGAATACAACCTAAGGTGTTTTTGTACGATCCCCAGAATACCCTTTTGCCCAAACTCAATTTCCTGCGCTCTATAGGTGTTTCGAATACTGATATTCCGAAAGTCATTATGCGGAACCCGGCCCTTATGGGGAGAAGTCTAGAAAAGCAGATTTGGCCTTGTTATAATTTTCTGAAAAGTTTGCCCCTTTCAGGGAAAGAGGTTGTTATGATGGTGAATAGAAATTCTAGAATCCTTGCAACTAATGTAGAGAAAATTTCTGGTAATGTGGAGGCAATGCAGCAAGCAGGGATTCCCCCACACTCTATCTCGTATTTTGTAAGCCGGTTTCCTGCTTCAGTGCAGCGGGATAACGAGAAATTTAGGAAGTGTTTGGATGATGTGATAGGTATGGGGTTTAACCCTTTGAGGTTGATGTTTATTCTAGCAGTTCGAGTGCTGTGCGAGACCCCTAAACCGACATGGGATTACAAAGTCAAGGTGTTTAAGAGGTTCGGCTTGTCAGATGAAGAGGTTATGTCAGCATTTAGATTGCATCCCTGTTGTATGAACGTATCCGAGGAGAAAGTGTTAAGGGTGATGGATTTCTTTATAAATAAGATGAAATGGGAACCTGCAGTTGTTATTCGAACTCCAGCGGTTCTTCTTTATAATCTGGAGAAGAGGATCATCCCCAGGTGTAATGTGATTACTCTTTTGATGCAAAAGGGCCTCCTGAAGGCAAATTTTCCTTTAATGTCTTTCTTGAAGAATAGTGAAATTGATTTCTTGGATAAATTTGTTTACAAATATAAGGACAATTTGACTCAATTGATGGATGTTTATCGTCAAGGGATGGCTTTGTAGCAATGGAATTGTCCTGATTCTAGAGATGCCTGATTTTCAAGTTTTTTTTTCCGTGTCCATCATTTATCCGTTCACAAGTAATTTGTTGCACTTCTCTTCACATTGAAAACATGGGATGTCCAACGACCTTTTTGTTCATGAGTGGGATTTCAGCAGCCTAATATCGACAGAATTACATCCTTTTTTTCTTATAGTTTGGAGAAGATGGTCATAACAATGTGCTCGAGTTATCTAACTTTCAACTAAAAGTTTGGGAAAAAAGCTACCTTCTTAACCGCATTGATTTTCGCTAAGCATGACTTAGCTTTTCTTACACCAACTTCAAGCACATGTAGAGGATCTATTAAGGAAAAAGTTCATTCAGTGGGAAGTTGGCTCGTACTCTACTAGGGTTCATACATTGATCATCATATGATAAAATGGGTTCTATGAATCTGTGATTCATATTAGATGACTGATTTTTATCTCCTTAGCTAATTGTTTCGCAGAGGACAACGTTTTGCTGCTTTGGTATTGGAAGGAAGAGAAGCGCTGATCCTCCCTAGAGAAATGTACTTGAAATTTTAAGTTTATTTAGTTATTTCTGTCCAGTATCAAATAAATTTTGGTTTTTCTTCGTAGTGATCGCATCAGTCCCAAATATGATCATGTTTGTTCATGAAAAACAAGGATTGTATTTTTGGTTAATCCTCATCTTTCATATATTTGCAACTAAAATTTTCTCTTTTAAGTGATGATACGTTTTTAACAGAATTCCTGTTATATAGACGTCTTATTAAGACAGCCTAGTGTGCATGGAATATCCGACAATTACTAGTGGTCGAGAAGATGACTGTACATTGTTTTCAGGCTCTACACTGTTCTTCTGGCATGGTAATATGGTACTCACCGTCACTGTAAGTTATTGCTGCTGCAAATTTTTTAGGTTTATTTCTTGTTGCTGCCGCGTTAATTTGTCAATGTAGGGCTGTAGTTTATTTACGCAAGTGGTTACGATAGCATGATTCGTACCAGGATTGTTTCAGGGTTCAACTGTGTTGCAATAATGTTGTTATTATTGGTATATAAGTGCATGTTTGGTACGACCCGATGGACACGACCAGCGCGAGTTTGGTAGGTACTGATGGTCAAATGTGTTGGATAATAAACCGTATTTTAGTTTCTTTTTCTGCCTTAATAGTGTTCGATACTATATAATCCTTCTTAACAGCATTGAATCAATTCTGATTCCGCAGAGTATTTTACGAGATTGAGAAGTGTTGTACGCACTACCAAAACTCGCTATTCATATTGGAGGAAAACTTGGTTCACGCAAACACGATGACATTTTTCTGTGTTGCAAATTTACAATGTTTTATAAACTTGTAGGTAACAATTGGGACTCGAGGGTGAAGTTATTTTACTTTTGACTTTGAAATTTTACATTTAAGAATGCGTTTATTAAAATAGTACTTTGTTAATATAATCGTATGACTTGAGTACTTCTGTACCTGGACAATTCAAACAAAATGGTACTTCGTTAATTAAAATCAAGTGTCTTTGACTCTTTGTCATGATTTCCTTTTTATAATTTTATTTTTCTAGGTAACTTTTTTTTAATAAGTTTTTATTTTATTTTAAAAACAATTTTTAATAAGGTTTTATTTTAATTTTTTTAAGTGACATTTTTTTAATTTGAAATTACTTTCTATTTTTAATTATTTATTTGAAATTTATTAGTACTTTCTTGAAAATTTTGGGAGTAGAGTTGTAATTTATTCTTTATTTTTTTTATTTCTTTTTGTATTTTTTAACTAGAAGGGTTAATTCGTTATTTTACGACTTTTAATTGAGAAAATGAATGAAAACAATGATTTTCATAATGAAATGTGAAAAATAAGGGTGAAAATGTTAAAAAGTGAAATGTATGGTTGTGCTAATTACTTTTTTAATAATTTATTTGGGCCTGCTTCACTTTTTTAAAGAGTTTTGGAGTGTGATTGTAATTTGTTCTTTAATTTTTTTCTTTTTTATTTTATTTAGATGGTGGGGGTATATTTGTTATCTTACATTTTTTTTATTGAAAAATTGGATGAATATGATGATTTTTGCAATGAAATGTCAATTAAGGATGAAAATATCAAAAAACGAAAGATAAGGACATTTTATGATAATTATTCCTTTTTCCATATGTAGAGAGAGATCGCGCTTTGAGGAAAGATATTTATGTAGGTGGGTTGTAGGTTATGGGGTGGGTAACCGATATGGATAAATGGATAAAGGAAAATATATAGAAAGTTGGGGTGGTTATATCGTACGAGCATAATTAGTAGATTAATTTAATTTAATAATATTATTATTAATTTTAAAAATTGCATTATGATGTGATTTTTGAATAAATAAGTTTTAAATATAATTTTTGAAGTTAAAAGGTTAAAAATCTTATAGGGGTTGGTGCGAATTTCTTGAGATCAAGCTGCCTAATGCCTAGCTGCCCAACAAAAATGCTTTAATTTTTCAACAATTGGGGCTTATTTAACATTGAATTCATGGAATTTTAGGAATCGTACGAGTCTATACGGGATGACTCCAATTTAATTATAGACGATTCTATCAAAATATGATTTTTGATTGACTGTATACAAATTGAGTGGCTATTTTAACAATTAAATCTTGCAACATGTACATCAAAGTTTATGTAAGGGATTAGAAAATATTCACATGACGTTCTATCATTTGTCAGTTTAAAACATAGATTCAATCTTTCCTTTTACATTATTTTCGATAATTGTTTATGTATCATTTTTATGTACAAATAGTACCGTCTTTAAAACCATGATACTAGTCAAAGGCAAGTTGTCTGCAAAATTTGTCATCATTAATCAGATCTGAAAATTAATGCAATAAATCACGTGTATGCCTGATGCGTTGAATTATTCAATTAAGAACGGCTTCGGAGTTGACGGATACACACAAGAATTTGCAAGCAAGTTCTTCAGACCAATTGAATTGACAAAATTGACACTCATTTTGTGCACTCATTATTTTGCTGTCCATCTCATGACCACGTGTATGAAAGGGTATTTTGGTCAAATGATATGGGCATAGTCCGCATAGCACCGTAATTGGGCCCCAGTTGTTTCTCGTTTAGCTTGAGGTAAAGGTAAAATTGTAGTGAAAGAATTAGGGATTATAGCCACTTCGGATAGGTCAAACAAACGATTTCACGCGCTTTTCGGAGAGTGTAACGACACGTGTAAGGATAAAGTATTTTTCGTGCTGCCATGGGAGAAATAGCAGCTGCAGTCTTTCTCTAGCACATCTATAATCTATGAGTCTGTTTGGGAGTGATTTTGAGAATTGATTTTTTGATCATTAGAAGAAAAGTGGGGTTCATTTGTGAGAGAAGAAGTCAAATATGACGGCTATAATAGTGAAATAACGGTTAAAAAATCAATTTTTTGGATGATAAAATCGCTCCCAAACAGGCCCTATATATTATTTAAAAAAAACTCATTTATTGTCTCGATTTAATTAAATCATTAAATTTTATTGTTTATTTCTTAAATATGATTTAACTTGATTAATATAAAAATTAAATAAGATAAACACTATTCGAGGGTTTACAAAATTTTACCACCTCACACCTTAGACTTTTTTTGCCACGGATTAAAATTTTTTTTTTCTCCAAAAGTGTATTTCAATCCCAATTTCTATGAGATCCACAAATTTTCTCCATGATTTAACTATACATTCTCCCAAAAAAATATATATATATATATCACTTAAAAAGAAACCGTGTCAAACAAGCTTTTAGTCTTGAATATCCCTAGTCACGAGTGATAACAAGACTCTAATATCGTTATTACATATATATTAGCATGTTTTCTATTTATTTTTAATGAAAAAAAGTAGCCAATCTCACAAAATAAAATATAAAAACATTTAGATGAATATTTGGACGACTTATTAGGAGAGCACGATGGCAATTCCACATTGGTAACAATATCTAATGACGTGCTTAATCTCTAATGCTGCGTACTAGAATCAGTCATTTAGCTTGGGATAAATATACGTTGGTGGTGTGGTTGCCCTTCTTGAGTTGCTAATATGACTTCATGTCATGTGGGCATGTTGAGAATACTACGGAATTTATAAATGATCAATAAAAGTTTAATCACCCTTGAATAGCAAGAGATTATGATATGCGTTTGTCCACTTACGTTGATGGATAAATTTATTTTCAAATATTGAGAAATAACTTGAAAAAAAAAGCTTCAAGTATAATTTGTTTAGGTCAATGTAAAAGCCACGCGAATACGATAATTGGTTAAGTTGAGATCACTTTCTTTTTATATCGTAATGAATTGAGTCATACTAATGAATGAATTTATCCATCTATGATAACTAATCATCTCAATTTTGTTAACTACATGACACTCTCCATCTAGAGATTGTTTAGACAGTTGCTAGATGTCAAAAGGTGAAAACTATGTGGATTAAATAAAGTACGTGAATTGATTATAAATTAAAATGAGTTTTTAAGTTATCTTATATTGATTAGTATAGAATTATAATTTCAAGTCAATCACATACAAAAATGCAAGAACTAGCATAGTGAGATCAAGAAATCATATTACTAATTGACAAATGTAGGACGTGTGCATAATAATTAATGATGTGATTTTGTCTATTTATTGATAAGTCCAAATAATTATATAGGTTTAATTTAACTAGCTTCTATTTTTGTGTTTTAGTTATGAATTAGTAAATATATAGTCTTGATTGAGGGTTAGAACACAAGAGACGTTGTAATATTGCTAGGACAAGAAAGCAAAATTCTAATCCTAATTTTCTTGCTTTGACCACAAATCACACGTCGTTATTGATCGCCACCATCATCACCCATGACGTTGAAATTTTTATTCATGTGCTCTGTTTATTATTTTCTTTTGCAGGCTAGACATCCTTGATATATGTGTGCTAAGATCATTTTTATCAAATTTAGATTTGTCTTTAAGTTTGGAAATCAACAAAAGTATAATCCTTACGTATTCTTCCTAAACACATTGGTGATTGATTAAAAGGAAAATTTTAAGTTCTATACATTCGTAGAATCCTTGCATTTTGAACTTGTAACATCTGACCAACTTATTCTCAACTTTTTTTTTTTTTTTTTTTTCCTCCCTTCAAAACGGGTCTTATGTGGACTTAAAGACAACCAATTTAACTCAATGCAATCCCAAAAAAAAAAAAAAAAAAAAAAAGGAAAAAAAAAAAAAAAAAAAAAAAAAAAAAAAAAAAAAAAAAAAAAAAAAAAAAAAAAAAGAAAGA